AGAAAAGAAAATTTAATTTTTAATTTTTTTATTGTCATCCAAATTTACCTGCTTGTGCTCTAAGATACAACAATACTTAGCACATAGAAGTGGTTCAGAAATGTTCCTCTGTGGAGGCCTGTTACTGCTGGTGGGTGGTTGCTGAATCACTAGTTCTAGGGTGAAGCCTTTTAACGTGCCATTGTCAAGTTTCCCATATGATACTGGTGGTTTGATAGAGTTTAGCTTGTTCGGATATTTGTTGGAAATTTTTATCACACATATAATGGGTAAATAAATTTCTAGCTTATTATGTTGGGCAAGATTAGAAATGCTCACCATTCCAGTCCGTTCTTGGGGTAAGGAGGCTATTGAAAAAGTAAGCAGGGAGCACCTGATCTCCGCGTGTTCTGAGAATGTTGGATTGGTTGTTTGGCCAGAATTGCGAGTTCTTTTATCCCTTCATGGCAGTGAACGTCCAAATGTGTGGTCCTGTTGGGTGAAGCCATTGTACCATTTTCCCAAGGTCAGATTTTTGACAGCTTGTCAACCAAAAGGTACTTGGATTGAATCCACCAGTTGCTCCATTGGTAAGATGGACAATCTCCTCTTGTGCCTCAAATAGGGAGCATTTAAACTGACACTCTTGTGCTTTAGCAGCTTGGGGACGTCCTTGGCAGCAGGTTTTGAGGGGTGCTCTGGTGAGCTAGTGTTCGTAATCAGTGCTGCAATTCCAGACACATGGTTTCAATCCTCAGACGCTGTGCGGGAGAAGGATGGCCAGTCTCCTCTCGGACAGATGACTGCCTATGGAAACCTTCTGAAGGATCAGCTGTGATGGGTTCCAACTTGATGGTACATAGGAACAGGCAAGAGAGAGAGAATGCAGACAGACATGCACGTGTGGGTCCAGAAATGTTTCACAGCATGAGATTCTCATGGTTCCGATTCATGGACACCTGGCTATGCAGAGTCTCGGACTTCATCCACTAAGATCTGTGCAGAAAATCTTGGCTTTAGTAAAGAGGAAAGGAAAGCTCTCCATGAATGGCCCTTCCGATCGTCATACCAGGTTTGTCAAACCAAGTAAGCCAGTTGCAAACCATCAGCGCAGAAACTAGCCTGGGGGATGTTTGAGGGCATTTGAGACCCAGAGAGAACATCAGAAATCTTCCTTCCCTCATCTTGATGGAGAGCATAAACTAGACATAAAAGTTTCCCCAGAGAAAAGGGAATAGCTCTTCCAGACCAGCTCTAACTCAGCTTCATTCAGTGCTGTCCGTTTTACAGTCCACCTGCACTCAGCACCAGGCCAGGTGTCCCCAGGTCTCTGACTGCACTGTCAAAGCATGTGGACACTAGGCAGGGAATACGCTCCTGAGCTCTCAACAAAGTGGGGACCCAGAATCCAGTCATCAAACCATTATTAGAAGTCACATACATAGAATGGCAGTCACAGTATTGATACCTTAATGAAAACTACATCAAGTTTACTGATGTGTGTGTGTTGGTTTAGTGCTAAGGAGCTGTGCTGACAATCTGTAGTCATGTGGTTCAAACCCCCACCAGGTACACATGAGAGAATGATGGGCAGACTCTTTGTGATCAACTGCCTCTGATAGATATGAGTTGTTTCCAATTCAAGGGTATACAACAACAACGTGTGTGTGTGTGTGTGTGTGTGTGTGTGTTTTCAGAATTTGCTTTGGACTTGTTGCCAGGAGAGACCAGTCCTTGGAAAAACAACATTATGCTTCAAAGGGTGGAGGGACAGCACCAGAGTAGAAGACCCTGATGAGATTTGTTGACACGGTGACTGTGGCAATGCGAGCAAGTGCATCAGAGACAGTGAGATTGCCTCAAGACAGGGCAGGCTTCAGAGCTATTGTTCTGGTGCCCTAGTGGTAAGAAGCTACAGTGCAGTTCCCAAAGCATGAGGTTCAAGCCCACCATTTGCTTTGTGGGAGAAGCAGGGCAGTCTTCCCCTGTGCTGTTTGTTGTTATAGCTATTAGATACCCTCAAGTCAAGTACAACTCATAGAGACCCTGTGAACAGCAGATCTGAACCCTGTCCTATTCTGTGTTGTCCTCATAGTTTCTGACACACTCAAACTCATTGCTGCAGTCACTGTGTCAATCCACCTGGTTCAGAATCTTCCTGTTTCACTGTCACTTCCCCTTTCTGAGCATGATGGCCCTCTCCAAGGAATAATCTCTCCTGGCAACATGCCGAAAAAATGGGAGACGAAGCTGTATCACCTTTGCCTCCAAGGAGCTCGCTGGATGCACCTCCTTGAAGATGTGTCAGTTTGTTCATTTGGCCATCCGTGAAATAGTTCAAAAACGTCAGTTCTTCTGTCATTTTTATTCATTGTCCAGCTGTTTCAGAAAACCTGCTGGAGGGTCAAATATAAGTAAGTGACAACTTGACAGTACACAATAACAGCAGCACATGTTTCTATATGTGAATCTGCAGAGACTGTACGTTGGCACAGGAGGAGACTACCTATCTTTTCTTCATGGTGCTGCATGTGGAGTTGCACTCCCAGAGAGAAGGCATTAGAAGACTATGACACCAGAGCGAGAGAGAGAGAGAGAGCGAGAGAGCTAGAGAGAGAGAGAGAGCGCGTGCGCAAGAGCAAGAGAGAGTGAGAGCGCGCGAGCGAGAGAGAGAGTGAGAGTGAGAGAGAGTGAAAGGGCGAGAGTGAGAGAGAGCAAGAGCGAGAGAGAGGGCGAGAGAGAGCGAGAGTGAGAGAGAGAGCGCGAGCCCGCACACACGCATGCTCTGGTGTCCTAGTGGCAAGGTGCTGCACTGCACGCCCAAAAGCACACAGTTCAAATCCACCAGATGGTCTGCAGGAGAAGACGGGCTGTCTGCTCTTGTGCTGTTTACTTCGGAACACTTGCTGGAAGGTCAGCTAAGATTCGCTTCTGACTAAACAGTATCACAGTACCTGTGGCTCATTAGATATCACTGATAACAGCCCCCAAGCCCAGTTTGAGGACTTCTGGACAAGGAGTCAGCAACCTAGATACTCCATTCTGGTCTCTACTATCAGGGGAGAGTATTCCCTGTAGACTCTTTGTTGTTGTGAGATGCCATCAGGTCACCTGTGACCCGCACCAGCCCTGCATACCACAGCCGGGATCCCACTGCTCCTTCACACCTTCTCTACAGCTCAAGCCCTTTGTCACAGCCAGTGGGTCAGTGCACCTTGTTGGGGCTTTTTCACTGACCCTTTATGTCCTTCTCCCAGGGCTGGACTCTCTTGATAGCATGTCCAAACAGTATACAGCGGAGTCTCACCAATGTGTATCATACCTACCCAGAGAACCAACCTCCTTGGCAGACTGCATTCTGACTCGTAGAGACTTGAAAGGACGATAGAGTCCCCATCATGTTCCAAAGCTGTAAATCTTCACAGGAGCTGACCCTCACACAGCACCAAGCAGGACCAGGACATAGGCCTTTTGCTTAGAGGTCAAAAGCATAACCTCTACACCCCACTGTCCTTCCCCTCTGGTCACAGAATTACATGTGTCCCATTGTAAGAGAAGGATTTTGTTCCTGCATGTTTATCCAGTTTTATGGCTTACTTTTAAATTTTTTATCTAGATTTATTACCCACTTTTTCTTTTCTACGCGACTTTAATCCTCTGTTCAATGAAATGCTGTTGTGTGTGTCATTGAGTCAACTGCAACTCATAGTGACCCTCTGTACCACTGCTCTGAACCCTGCCCTGTCCTGAGTCAGTCTCACCAACTCCAACACACCTGTCCTCACTGTGCCAGTTACTGCATCGGTCCATCTTATCTAGGGTCTGACTTTTCGTGCACTGTCCCTTCCCCTGTCCAAGCATGATGTCCTTCTCTAAGGACTGATCCCTCCTGGCCATATGCCCAACAAAGTATAATATGAGACAGAGCTTCAAATCCTAGCCTCCAGCCTCCAAGAAGAAACTTGGTTTCACTATCTCTGAGACAGGCCTATCTGTCTTCTTGGCAGTCCATGGTATGTTCATATGTTCAACACTCTTCTTCAGCACCACGACTCAGAGGCATCAATACTTCTTCTGTCACAACTAATTATTTTTTATCAATATATGGTCTCATGATCACCTGCGTTTGGAACACTTAGGCAATGTTTCATAAACTTTAATGTGCAAATGTATCATTTGGGGATCTTTTGAGATGCAAACTATGGGCTCTCATCTTCCTCACTGAGACAATCCCCTGCTCCTCTTTTATTACCAAAGGGACTGGGGTGTGTATGTGTGTGAGAGAGAGAGAGAGAGAGAGAGCAAGAGAGAGAGAGCGAGAGCGAGAGAGAGAACGAGAATGCATAATAAGGCAGCAACATCAGATAAATGAATCTCTGAGGTATTTACCCCAACAAGCAACCATTTTCCCAGGAATTTAAAGAATACTCCAGCTTAAAATCTACTTGCATATAATGAATTCCTAAACCAGCTTTTAGTCATAACATTAGAAGCGCTGATTTTGCAGGGACACTCTGTTGTTGATATATCTGCAACCCACAAACCACTGCCTCGCCTCACTTCTAGACTTCAAATGTCATTTGGTTGTGATATTTTGCCACAACATCTAAAAGCAAACCTTTCATGCTACCCATAATTACTCTTGCCCTACTTTTTCCTACTGGTATTCTTCCCTCAAATGAGAAACAAAACAACACTTTCATATCTACTTCTTTTTTTTTTCTTTCAATTTTTTAAGAGCCCACAAAAACTCGATTGTTTGTTTAAAACATATGGCATCACTGTTATCCTCTATTCCCATGCTGACTCTTTGGTGGTGTACTCTGTCGTGTACGATGAAATTTGTTCATATTTCATCTCCTTGATGTCTTTGAGGAAAATGGCTTGTGCAATACAGTACAAGGAAATGTAACTCAGGGTGAGTCCATCATGTTACTGAGACAAATATCATTACTTACAACTCCATAGAGGAACATGGTGGTTTTGCATGTTTTCTAAAGTCCATTTTCCTTTCATTACAGTACAAACAAGTGGAGCAATACATGTCATTCCATAAGCTGCCGGCTGACATGCGTCAGAAGATACATGATTATTATGAGCACAGATACCAAGGCAAAATCTTTGATGAAGAAAATATTCTCAATGAACTCAATGACCCTCTGAGAGAGGTAAGATTTACATTTACCCAATCTCCATGTTATCCACTCTCTGTTTACTTTCACTTTTCATGGGATATTTTCATTCGTATTGAGAAATCCGTATTTCATGATGCTTTTCCACAGAAATAAGTAGGGAGACATCTATTTTTGTTCTTGATATTTTCCTCTTATATTTGGCATTTGATTATTTTTATAGTATTCATTAATCTACTTGATATGATTCTCAAAAAGGTCAATTTCTGCATTCCTCACTTTCAAAAGTCGTTGTCGTTGTCGTTGTTGTTGTTGTTGTTGTTAGGTGCCGTGGAGTCGTAGACAACTCATAATGACTCTATGAACAAAAGGCCTGTGCACTGTTCGTACATAGAGTCTCCGGAGGCAAGCCACTTTGGAAGTGGATGCCACTCCTGCTTCCAGGCTTGTTTTAGTCGGGAAGCTCCAGAAAACACTGTCTACCATGGGTGACCTTTACCATGTTTGGCACATCAAAAGTCATTATTTGGTCTAATTTTCCATGTCCAATCTGCCACTCTAGTTTGCTTCCTGGAGGAATTGTTTTAGGTCTTTTTTCTTTTCTCTTTCCCACCTAGCTTTGTTTTCCCCTGGTCTCTGAACACAGACTGGACCTCACAGATAGCCACGTGGTACTCCCTGTACTCCTGGCCCCAGTGCTCTCTCATTCTTTTCTGCGATCATTCTCTTTCCTACTGCTACCAGCAGCTAGCATTCTGAAACTGCTGAGGATAAACTCAACAAACTCATCGTCCCATTCTATGGTGTATCTTTAAACTGTAAACATCCCTACCATCTGAGGATTCTGTTATGTTCTCGTGACAACTGTCCCCACAGTTGGCTGAGATGCTGAACTCAGTCTTAAGACACACCCATAACAACTATTTTGCTCTTTATTTCAAGAATTTTCTGTATCGTTTTTCTTTTACATTCTTCAAAATTATTAATATTGTTGTTGTTGTTGTTGTTGTGTACCGTTGAGTCGTAGGTGACTCATAGCAATCCTATGAATGAAAATCTTCAATGCCTAGCGATTCTATTTATTGCTATGTAATATCTCTGAAGTTTGCCTTGATACTGAATATTGCCTTCAGTCCTCTTCCGCTGTCTCCGTAGAAGTTTTCCCTCCACCCACTAGACACCACCAAGCTCTGGTGCCCTAGTGGTAAGAAGCTGCACTGCATTCCCAAAGGCTCGCTTCAAACCCACCAGCTGCTCCGTGGGAGAAAGGTGGACATTCTCCTCCCGCATCATTTACTGCTTCTGAAAACCCCCTGGAGGGTCACTTATGGGTTACTTCCAACTTGATGGCACACAACAACATAAACATAAAGACACTTGACCCTTCATATTCTTCACCCTGTGCTGATAACACCATTTTCTTTTACTGACTTCTCTAACTAGCTCAATGTACTAATTGTTTACCTATGCAATATGGTCTGTCTCCTACATCCTCCTCAATATTTATCCCCTGTCAATCATTAAGGGCCTTTTACTTATCAAATAGTTTGTCTTTGATACATTAATGATAGGTGGTCTACAACTGAGGAAACACGCGTTTTTCATTTCTTGAGGTCTTTTGCAGAGATCTGTGCCTCAAACACTGAGGACACAGCCTCTCCCTGTGTTACCGTGTTAAGTATTACATCCTAGACTTTTTAAAGTTTAATTTCTAAGTTCCTGCCAGCAGCCTTCTTTTCTACGTGGTATACACTTCAACATATCCTCTACTGCTCTGTGGCTTTCCGTGATTTGAATGTATCACACACTGATAGCTTCTCCAAATTCTGATGTGGTCTGTGCATCTACCTGCATGCCAGAGATCTGGAGAATGGCATGAGATAGAGCAAGGTTCAGATTTGTTGTTCGTAGGGTCACTGTTGGGTAGTCATAGTCAACTCTATAGGACCTAAGAACTAGAAGGGGAAACATAAATCCTTGGACACTTGGCACTTTAAAAATGGGTGATTTTGTTTCTTCCCCTGACTCTTCATCTTATCCTACTTTGGCATCAGAATCACACTAGATTTATACATAATATTGTGCTTAATTAGGATATATTGTTGTTGTTTTTGATTGCTGTCAACTCGAGCACTATTCAAAGTGACTCTATGAACAGAAGACCTCATGCCTTTCAATGACTATTGTCATTTCTCCAAGTTCATAGAGTTTCCATAGGCATGTGGTTTAGGAAGTGGATACCACTCTTGCTTCCAAACCTGTTTTACATCTGAGAGTTCCACCATACACTGTCCACCTTGGGAAACCGTAATGGTATTTGACACCCCAATGGCACAATGTTCAGCATCACAGCAAATCCAGATTACCTCAGTACAGTGGATTGACAGAAGAGTGATGAACAACATAGAAGAATGTTCCTCAAAGATATAACAACACTGGTCTCACATAGCAGTGGTTAAGTGCCGTGAAGTCGAATACTACTCATAGCGACTCTATGAACAAAAGCCCTGTTCTGCCCAGAGGCATCTGGTTTAGGAAGTAGATGCCACTCCTGCTTCCAAACCAGAATCATTCTGGAATTTCCTCCAAACACTGTCCATAATGGGCAACCATTATGGCATTTGATATAACTAGGTACTGTCAAGTAGAATATGATATATAGTGACTCTATGAATAGCAGATCTGAATTCTATCCTATAATCTTCACACTTTCTGACACTAGTGTCCATTGAAACAGTCACGATGTCAGTCCATCTGGTTGACAATCTTCCTCTCCTTTGACCCTCCACCCTTCCAAGCATCATGGCCATGTCCAAGAATAGCATCTCCTAGTAACATGCCCAAAATATGTGGGGCAAACTCTCATCAACTTTGCCTCCAAAGAGCACTCTGGCTGCATATGTTTATATTGATATATTTATTTGTTCTGTTGACAGTCCATGGAATGTTCAGTGCTCTTCTGCAACACCAAACTCAAAGACATCATCAATTCTTAGCCTGTCATCTCTATTCATTGTCCAGCTCTCAGATGCATAGCAAGTGATCAGAGAAACCATAGACTGAATCCGATGCATCTTAGTCCTCAAACTGACATCATTACTCCTCAATAATTTGGAGAGTTCCCTAACTGCAGAGCTCCCAGATTAAGACAGACTAGAAAGCAGGATTGGCCATCCACTTCTTAAATAATAGGCCTTTGAGAACCTTATGAACACTAGAGAAGCACAAAGCATTATAGCAGTGTAGTGGTAGAGCCCAGATTGGAGATTACTTGAAGAAAATCAGTGACAAACATCGTTTAGTAATTGGAACATAGAATGTATGTTATATAAGGTTATACTAGATGGTTTTAGAAAATGCGTAAACTGAAAAAGAAAGAAGTGGAAGAGATATCGCAAAGTCACCTGAGTCTAAAATTGCCCTCTATATTTTATGAATAAATGTCTAATAAAAACAAGAGGAAGTGTATCTTACTATCAAGTCACCTCATATGCATGTAAAAGTGGAAAAATAAAAAATAAGCCAGAATAATTGATAAATTAAAACTGTAGTGTTGGTCAAGAATATTATATATATATAGCATAAGGTCACTATGAGTCGTACTTGACTCTATGGCATCTCGCAAGAACCAGAAGAACATGCAGATCAGTTGTAAAGTAGTATCAACAGAATGCTACATAGAAGCAAGAATAGCTCGGTATCAGCTTGCTTACTCTGGACACATGATTGACGGGGGGAAAATACAAGATAAGACATCATGCTAGATAATATAGAAGGCCAGCAAAAGTGAAGGAAGTCTCCAGTGAGATGAGTGAACACAAGAGCGACACGATCTATATGAAGAACAGATCTTTGGGAGGCTAGACTTTATGAAGAGGAATGTGGCATCAGGATTGGAGGAAGCCTCACCAACAGCCTGTGATACATGACACGACCTGAGGTGTTTGCTGCAGAAGGTTAAGGATGCCAATCTTCAATATAGATTGAAGGTCAACATCAAGAAGACAGATTCTCACCACTGGGAACATTTATAGTTAGGAAATCAAAAGACAAATTGCATTGGAAAATCTGCTGTGAGGGTGCTTTCCAGAGTACTGAAGAGCAATGATGTCCATCTAGAGACTAAGGTGTACCTGATCCAAGACTTGGTCTTCACAGTTACTGGCTCTGTATCAGAGATCTGGGCAATGACAAAGGAGAATAGAAGAAGAATCAATGCCTTTGAACTGTGGTGCTGGAGAAGAGTATTGAACTTACCAAGGACTGCTAAGAGAAAAATGAGACCTGATCTTGAGAGAGTGAAACCAGGCTGCTCCTTGTCACATACTTTGGGCACACTGCCAGTAGACACCAGTCCTTGGAGAAGGTGGAGGAACAGTGCAGGAGAAGACAACCCCAGATGAGATGGATTGACATAGTAACTGGGGTAATGGGGATAGGTGTGTGTCTAAAGAGAGGAAAAAAGGGGGGGAGTACATGGGTCACAAGGCCATGAATGTCTCTCTGAAAGAGCATTAGGAAGTGAGACTAGCACAGCCCCTCCCTGCCCCAGAGCAGAGGCAGATAAAGAACCCAGAGCACAGCCCCAAGTTGCCTCTCGAGTCCCAGCAGCAGCAAGAGGGTCTTGTATTCCTTGCTGACTCACAGCCTCACAGCTGTGGTGCAGAGAATGGGCTTTATTAGGGAGGGAATTTGGAGAGTGGGGGAGACAAAGACTTTCACCATAAACAAATCCAAGGTTTAGGCCAATACAGAACTCCTCAATTAGTCCAGGTTCTGGCTTCAGTTCATTAATCAAATCCAAATCATCCAGCAAGGTTTGCTTCTGAGCTTCTCTTTCAGACATCTGGCAAGAATAGCAAAACCCTTAACTGTGACCAGCACAAGTGCACGAAGCCTCAAGTCACACCTCGCCAGAGTTATTCGACGGCCATGCCACCGTCTCTCCACCATCATCACCAGGGTCCCCCCACACCAGGGTCTCCTATGACAACAATCCAGAGTAAGAGGTGTATTGCAAAGTGGACAAGGGGAAG